GTCCTTCTTCAGCTACTATGAAGAATGATCATTAACTGAGGGTTGGGAAGATGTCCAGGGACCAGGTCTCTATGCGTGTGGTTGTGAAGATGCACAGCAGCCCAGCAAGAGCAGGACAATTACCCCATTGACAGGTGGGACCCAGGGAGGCTCAGGGAGCCATTTGTCTAGTAAGATAAGAGTGGGACCCAAAAGAACCACAGCTTCCCACAGAGCTGTGCTACCGCAGCTTATAGAGGGTGATCCCTCAGATCAGGGGGTCCCAAGCTCAGCTGGGCACGAGAGTGACCTGAACTCAGATCTTGAGGTCCTTCTGCTCAAGGGGGCCAGGTGAGGCTGGGGAAAGCTGGGTCTTACCCTCAGGCAGTTATTATGGGGAGGAAAATTTAGGAAACTCACCAATTTGTCTGGATTTCTGGCTCTTGCACACTTCTGCTGAAGGACAAATTTGCTCCTCCAAAAGGCCCCGCTCTGTAGAGGCTGTCATTTAGAAGGTGTTTTTGCTCCTGGGTGATATGAAATGTCATAGCACAATCCTGCTTCTTTACCTTCGAATTTGTGTACTGCGGGGGCGTTGCCACTGTTGGGAGAGGAGGGCCTGAGAGCGCCCAACATCTGCTATGGGACAGTCACCAAAGGGTGGCAAAGGCTGCCAGGGAAGGCGGGGAAGCCCTCCGTCCTTCCCCTAACAGTTTCCTCTAGAGCAGCAGCACCACTCCCTGTGGGTGTGGATTTGATCTTTGAGCACTGTAAAGTCAGAGAATCAAATAAATCTCTTTGAAAGAGAACATCATGCTCTTGGTTCCTGCGGAGGATTTTAATCCAGCCATCAATTCTAGGTGTTAAAGGCCAATTTCGCTGTCTGTACTTTCTTCCTCGCTGCCTCTTCCCTACCTGGCTTGGTGGGTTGAATGGAAGTCGGGGTCATGACCAGGCCAGAAAGAACAACAGCTGATGAGATTGCCAAGGGTCAGAAACTGAAGCCTTTTCTCATCAAGGTTCGAGTTCCAGAAAACCATGAAATTCCAGCGCTCTTTGGAGATTCTGGAGTCCAAAGAGGGCTGAACTATCTCAGCTTCATCTCAGGCTTCAGATCGTGAAAATCTACAAAGAGGAGCACACCACACACATCCCACCTGTGAAGACCACGGCATCTCAGTGGCTCCGGGCCCTCTCAGGAACCATTTGTTCTGCTCAGGACCAACTTCGGCCAGGAAGGTACCCAGAGCCACCAAATTGCTGCACATGGTCGTAGGATAAGATGATCTTGTAAGTGAACTTTCCACCTGTTCTGAAGGAAGCATTTCTAAACTGCTATCTACTAACCTGTTCTAGTAAACAGATGCTAAACACAATTCACCCTTTCTTAGTAACAGGGTATCACTCTTAAGCTTCAATTTTCCCATCTATAAAATGGAGAAGTCAACAGCCCTGACCTCAAAATGTTGTCGGGATGGAATCAGACATGACAGACGACGTGCTCAGCCCACACCTCACCCACACCAGCCTTGAATTGACACAGCAACCACCAGGACGCCACAGAGGCCCTAGCAGGTCAAGCCACGGAGATGTTGGCAGGCAGGAGCGACAACGACACTGTGCCCTGCTGCACCCCACTCAGGTCGCCATTTCTAACCTACTGGGAGCTGGAGAGCGAGAAAGTCAAACATGACCTGAGGCACGAGTCTGTAGGCGCTCAACAGAATCAGTCCAAGTCCAAGTGGGCCACTAAGGATGTCGCTGTGTTGCAGCATCCACCCAGGTGTGGGGCTGTTTCTCAGGCAGCCCTGTGGAGTCTAGATGAGGTGCTGTCACAGTGCTCCCCGCTGCCTGCACACATAGCATGAGTCTCTTTTAACATAGTACATTTTTTTCTTTTTAAATATTTTTAGTTGTAGATGGACACAATGCCTGTAATTTATTTATTTAATTTTTTAATGTGGTGCTGGGGCTAGAACCCAGTGCCTCACGTGTGCAAGGCAAGCGCTTGACTGCGGAGCCCCAGCCCAGCCCTAACACAGCACTTTGGATGGAGTGACTGTAAGGTCTTGCTGGTGAATTGCTCTTTCCACCTCTCACAGAGACACAACACTGGAGGTGATGCCATCAGTACTGAAGCCTTCCCAGCAGGGAGACACCAGAGGTGCGTCAACCTAGGCCTATGCTCTAGTGGTCCCCAGGCCTATGCTCTAGTGGTCTTCGTGGAACAAACAAAGCTCACCGAGGAGTGTTTGCTTCTGGCTGTGTGAGAAGGTGATGGAAACGCCCTTGTGTTTCCGGGTCCTGAGCTTGGCATGGACCCCTTAATCACCCAGGAGACCACAGAGGCCATGAAGCCACGCAGGCGAAGAGCTTTGCTAGTGAGCCGTACTGGATCTGGGTAACAGTACTCCAGTCCGGGGATGGGTGTGTGACTGAAGCCTCCCGATCAGAGAACACATCCTAAAGGTCATGGTCACTGGTTCAGAGATAAATAACTTACCAATGAAAGCTGTTTCCTAGGGCTGCCAGGAAACAACCTCCTTTTAAATAGGAGATGCCAGCCGGGAACTACTGTGGCCACCATGCTAAAGGGGAAAGTTGATCTGAGCATGGGACTGTACCCCGAGCATCATGTAAGCACATTCATCCAATGATGTCAAGACCATTCAGTATAGATGATAGTTGTCTTTTGACTTTTTTTTCCTTGAGAAAATTTGAGTTGAGTTTTAGTCACTTGCAACTGGCAGATTTCTGATCACTGGTTCTAATAATACTCATGTCTCAGCTCTCTGTGATCTCACGGTGGCCAGCTTCCATGATAGCCCCAAATGCATTTTGCCAACGAGAATTCATATAGTCCGGTAGTTTCCTCCCACACCTGGTCTGTGTGCCTAGGAATATGGCTGCAGTACCGGTGTGTGACTTCCAAGGGTGGGTCAAACAACACATGGCAGTTTCTACCTTGACTTCTTGAATTACTCAGGACCTAGCTCAGAGAACAGAACACTCTAGAAGCCCATGCAAAGAACCCACCTTGAAAGAACGGAGACCTCCCACTAGTCCCACACTCACAGGTCAGCCCTGTGAGGGAGGCTGAGAGGTGGACCTCTGACCATCCATGCTTCAGGTGACTATGACCTCAGGTGGCATCCTGAGCCAGACCAGTCCACCAACCTGGTCCCTGGGACACCCACTGGGATAGACTCAGAGAAAATAAACAATCATTACTGAGTTTCGGAATAATTTGCTACACAGTGATAGATAATGAATGACTTTCACTACCTCTCTCCCCTGCCTGTGTGGGAAGGGGGATAGTGCATAAGGTCCCTGCAGGTGCACTCCCAGGCTCTTGTCCCTCTGAGTCTCAGTCTCACATAGTTTCTAGGGGTTTCCAGCAGGGAGGCAGACTACCATCATGGAGTCCCTTCTGCCACCGGCCACCAGCCACCACCTCCTTGGGCACCACCATCACCTCTCCAGGTTCAGTTGTCACTGCCTCAAGGGTCAGAGCCTCTGCCAGCAGATGGGCTGCACCTGGCCCCAAACCTCCTCCATGGCACCCTACACCCCTAAAGGGAGGCTCGGGCCTCCTGGGCCCACACGTCCCTGGTAGTAACGGGTGCCTCGCTCCCTCCCTCCCTCCTGTGGCATCGCTGTGACCTTGGCTAGCCTTCGAAAGTTCGGAGTGTGTTTTTGTACATGTTATATGATCTCTTAGAAATCCAGCTTGGCCATTTTTTCTTCATCATTGGAACAAATAGGTTTTTCTTTGAGACAGAGCTATCTAATAGAATTTCTCTGTGGCCATGAAAGTGTTCCATAGCTGACTATTCAACACAGCTGCTGCTACTCATATGATCACTGAGCACTTGAAATGGGACTTGTGTGGCATTAGATTTGAATTTTCGGTTATGTAATGGGTGCATGTGACTAGCGGCTTCTGTCCTGGACAGCAGAACTTTAGGTTCAGTTCGGTGGTGGTCAGACAAAATGCTTTTCCTCTCGACCAGAGAATTTGCACTAAGAGTGACTGTGGAGCAATGCTCGACCTCGATGTCCTTCTCAATTTTCATGGAAGTGGTTCCTTCCATTTTCTTCTTCTGGTGCTTCCTCCCACTTCCTCCCGGGACCCACACAGGGGCCCTGGGCTGGAATGTCACTGTCCTCCAGTCAACCCGCACACAACTCAATCAGCCCTTGCATGGCTCTCTCCAAGGGGAAACTGCTACCATCCAGTCAGGCATCTCAGGGACAGAAGGGTCTGGAAGCTTTTCCGTCAAACTCCCACAGGCCCCTCTGAGGATGTAACTGTTTGCTCACAGTCCCACTTCGGTGGGGTGCCATCATAAAAGGTTTCTAGTCACCACTTTCCCGTTTGCGTGGCTCCTAACAGATCGGAAACAAAAGCTTTCCTTGGCACGTCACGGGCAGACCTGTGACCCTCTTATCACTCTCATGCGCTCAGCTTCAGCAGGTCCAATCTGGAGGCTCATTCTCAGGTCTCAGTCAGAATTCTACACTGGCCTACTTCATCCTCAGGTCCTGCAGGTCACTGGTGTGGAAGGGACAGGGAAGCAGGGACCACAGCGTTCCCTCATGTGGGATGTCCAGCTCAATGGGACCTCTTCTGCCGGCTCTCAGCAGCACGCTGGTGGCAACCACATAGCCTCTTGCTCCAGGGTCCCTCTGCCATGGACGGTGCTCCCGAGGCGACACTGGAGCGACAGCCACAGCAGGCTGCCTCTCCTGCCGACAGCCCTGCTGCCCTCTCTCCAGGTCACTTTTTCCTGGGAAGGTGAGCAGAGGGGGACATCTGAGGGCCACAGCTTAAGCAGATGTCCCTCTGGGGAATGGGAGTGGGGCCTTCTGCAGCCCCTCCCACATTTCTGTTGCCCGAGGCAGAAGTGGACATTGGGGGTGGAGGGGACCAGGAAGGGACTTCCTTACTGTGACTGCTGCCCAAGGCTATCGACCTACATCACCCCTTCCTGCTCCTCCCACAGAGAAGTTGGGTGGAGGGCAGGCCAGAGGAGCAAAGAAGCCTAATCTGAGAGTCCAGGAGGCTGTGTGCCCTGCTTGGAATGCTCTTCTCTGAATGGGCGCATTAGCACCTTTCCTGTTCAGCTGGGACTCCAGATGGCAAGACCAGAATGGTAGGAATCCCCACAGCCCCCTCCCTGTTGGTTCTGGTCTGATTGTCCTGGGCAGAAGGTGCAGCTGCTATGGATTTTGCTGGGCCTGGTGTCTCAGTGAGTTGTAGGCAGCAGCTGGCCTTGCTGGGGCCGTTGGAGGCTGAACAGAGACCCCAGGGTAGGTGGTCACCCCTTGGCTTTTCAGGCACAGCCTCCCTGTCCTGGGTCTCTCATGTGGGAAGAAGTGTCCTGTCCCCTCGCGAGGCAGTGGGAGGCCCAGCATGCTGGCCCAGACCCAGAGGTGGAGCTGCTGCTTTCTTGGCTGACTCCCAGGTGTCAGTAGGGACGGTTCCAGCCTAAGTGGCCTGATACCTTGAGTTCAAAATGCCCTTGACCAGCACAGCCTGGCTCAAGGACCAGGAGCAGTCCAGTATCCCTGGAGAAGCCAAGCCTGAAGGTAGGGCCTGGGCGCAGAGTGGGAGGCTGGGCACTTTGCTGGGACTGCTTTCCCAGAGAGCCAAAGGTTCACGTGCTTCCTCAAGGATGGTTCTCTGGCCTCAGGCAGGCTCTGGCCTTCCCTCGGCATCAGGCCCTGCCAGGCTACTGCCATTCTCAGTGATGCGTGTGTCTTGTTGGTGGACACAGACCCCTGGGGGGCCTAGAGGTTGGCAGCAGTGGCTCAGGATGGGTCCTTGCATCTGCGCTTCCCCTGACCTGAGCCACCATTCTTTCCAAACCCACAAAGCTGGCTCCTCTGCCCATCTGTCCATCTCTCATTCCCCTTTCTTCTCCTTGCTTTCTGTTTTAAACCCCGGATGGTCAGGGAATTCATGCTACAGCTACTGTCCTCAGGGAAGCCCAACACCCGGGGTCCTTGATTTTCAAGACAGAAAAGAAAAAAATGCACATGTCAAATCTTCAGACGTGAATCTGCGGGTGACCAGGAAAAAGGGACAGCACCATGACTCCCAGGGTGTTAGCATTGGCCACCTTCTTTCAGCCTGAGTGTGATCTGGTTCTTGGTCCCACCTGTTCCCACACACCTGTTTCTACAGCAGGTGACAGATTTGTATGAGTGTCAAGGAAATGTTTCTTTAAACTCACTGGACTACAAAGTTTATTTTTAATATCTAGGGAATACATGCAAAACGAATACTTAGTAAATGTTATGAAACATGATTACTTTGTTTCTCTCTCTCTCTCTTTTTATTTATTTATTTATTTTTGATGGTACTGAGGATTGAACCCAGGACCTCAGACATGCTAAATGCATGCTCTTCCACCCAGCTGCACCCAGCCCTGATGTTTCTGGTCAAGAAAGACACAGAGCTGAAAGCCGAGTCAGCTCTATATTTCCCCCTTTCAACTGAATTATTTGTTTCCTTGTGGTTCGACTTTTTTTTTTTTTTTTTTTTTTGGTACCAGGGATTGAACTCAGGGACACTCAACCACTGAGCCACATCCCAGCCCTATTTTGTGTTTTATTTAAAGACAGGGTCTCACTGAGTTGTTTAGCACCTCACCATTGCTGAGGCTGGCTTTGAACCCATGATCCTCCTGTCTCAGCCTCCTGAGCTGCTGGAATTACAGGCATCCGCCACTGCGCCTGGCTTACTAACTTTTGAGAGATTGTCTTTAAAAAAATTGAAGTGTGTTTGTGTGTGTATTCCTCTGGCTCTTAAAGATGAGAACGTTTTACTCATTGTACTGAAGGTTACATTTTAATGACAAGTGTGGTAGTGTGTGAGATTATTCATTTTCTCACAACAGAGCCATGAAACAGCACTGTCCCATTTTATTTACAGAAACACTGAGACCAGAAAGTTTCCAAGGTTATATACCCAATCGGTTGGCCTGCGATTTTCTGTTATCAGTCCTCTCAGATACCTAAGCAGTTCTTCCGCTGTTGGTTTTACATGGGCTGAGATGTTTTCCTGCAGTTCTTATGCCAACTCTGACCAGCATTATATTTAGTTGATTCTCTCATGATAGGTTTAGATTGATAAACTGATTAGCAGGAAATGACTCAATTTTTTTCATAGTGACTTTAGGAAATATACAAAAATGTGGTCAGAATTTTATCTCAATTTCGGTCTATGATTTCAATTATGTATCTTGTAGGTGAATCCTATTTCTAATGTGTGTGTTTTAAATGAGACTCCATACTGGCCCCCTGAGTAGACAGAGTGGGTGGCAGCTTTACCTTCCTCACCACACAGGTTTCTGCTGGGTGTTCACTTCTGGGTGACAGAGGTCTCCCCGCTGTGTTTGTGTTTACTAACACTCGTTCTGGGAATTCTCTTCCAAGCTTGTCATCTTTGTTTTCCCCCAAACCACCCAGATTTGCCTTCTTTTTCTACAGATGCATAGCCAACTGGCTTCGCTCTCTCTTTTTTCGAGTCTGCAGTGTGTGACTTTGACAAGATCAGGGGATTCAGAAACCACATTTTTGGCTTTGTCCCTGAGGCAGCAGTACCAGCACACTTGCAGAGAATAAATGTTTGTACTCCCTGAGTGCATTCCAGCCAGCAATGTAGGTGGGAGCTTGTCAAACTTGATCGCAGGAGCAGGAAGCGAAGTTGGTCCTCAGTGCTTGCGGGTGCTTGCGGGTGGGGTAGCTCCACACTCCTAGGCATGGCTGCTCCCCCAGAAACTGGCAGTAACCTTCTTTTCCCTCACCAGAAGCCTCTGTGTGGCCACGAGGACAGGGTGCTGGAGGCGTGCCTGTTTGCAGATGTCCTTTGCTCCCATCCGGGTGCTTGCTCTCATCTGACCCCTATGATCTTCCATTGCACTCTTTTAAATAAAGAATGCACTTTAAAAAGCACCAAATTTCCCATCTCTTTGGGGCTGTGGAAGGTCTGGAAGGTCCAGACTTCAGCCTGCAGAGACAGGGAGGGGAGTCTGTGGACCACCTAGGAGGCACAGAAGCTTTGGCAGTTCACAAGCTAGTGGGGGTGGAGGAACAACTTGGCATTTAGAGAAAGAGAGAAAACAAATGTTAGGATTGAAGAGGACCCAGAAGCAATCAACTGCAGAGGTTCCCCAAAGCCTATCTCAGCATAGGGATTCACTGCTCTCTTTAACTGACGGGTGGAAGAGGGTGGAAAGGAGAGGATCCTGCAAAAAATGTGGTTCTGATCTCCAAGTTTATGATCCACTGGAAACGTAGCCCTCTCTCCAATCCCCATTATACAGATGAAGCCCAGAATAGGGACATGACTTTTCCAATATTTACGACCCTTTAGTAGTGAAACAAGAATACAAATTCCAACAACTCATTGGTCATTTCTCAGTCTAGTACAATACAGATATAACGCTCTTTCAGAGGGAAAGAGTGTTCTGTGGCCATAATGATAAGAACTCAAATGCTGAGCAAATAGTGGAAAAATAAAAAGGGGGCGGTGGGTGCAGCAGATCACTAGGGTACTGCCGAGGTGCCAACACACACTCCTCACTGTGAGGCTGAATTCAGATTCTGCACACAAAGGCCAGGCATGTCATACAGATAAGAAAAACATGGTCTGGACCTGGAAAATGATTGCTCCAGAGATGCCATTGGCCCTGCTCCTTCCGTCTTCCCTCTCAAGGCCTGGGATACAGTCAAGTGAGTTTGCCCTGAAGATTAAGAGGCCCAGAGCTGAGGAGATCATTACAACTCCTGAGTTCCCAGCACAGATCTGAGGGTGGGAGCATATGATACGGTTGTGTTTTTTAAAAAAAAAAAAAAAAAAAAAAACAGCCCAAGAAGCCCTGAAGGAAAGAATATCTTAGGTCAAGTGTTAGGAAAAACTTGCAAGAACCCAGAGCTGTTTCTCTGATGCTCTGGGGAGCTTCTTTCTCTGCCACGTTCATATCTTGATTTTATTTTTTTTCCACAACAACACAGCAAAGCAGAAACGATCATTCTGCAGATCAAGTTCAGGTCAATTTCTTGGGTTGTCTGTCTTGCTTCTGTGCTTTGAAGGAATTTGTTTAGTAGATACAGCAGACAAGCAGCCGCCTGGCCTTTCCCCCAGTTCCAGTCAGCACCAAGTCTCTGCAAGTGAGGAACAGGGTTCTCCTTAACCCTTCAGATGGTGCCAGGGCAAATTCCACAGAGCAATCACGAGTCAAGGGACTGCCTCTGGCCTGGAGGTGCCCAGCCGGCTGGAATTACAGGATGGCTTTTCCCGCTGTAGGCATTCACGCAAGCTGTTGTTATTCTTCCTCCTCTAGCAAAAGAAAGGAAAATCCCAGTGCTCAGCACACTGGGGCTGACTCACGGACTTGCGTTTTCTGTCCTGGAACAGGGACTGGCTCAGCGAGACACCTCGAGCTGATATTCTATAGCCAAGATGCCTGCCTCTGGTGGGCCACAGGGGAGAGTTGCCGCTCGGGAGTCTCAATGCCCCCTTGGAATGATACCAGTCTTCATTATTTAACAGTTATTCAGCATCAGAGAAAATGTAGCCCAAGAAAAAGGCTGAACTTACATGACTTCCCCAATAGGAGTGTTTTAAGAATTAGATACAGAAATCAGATCGCATTAAATAGTGTATTTCTAAGCTGAGTGCGTGTTAAATTTCCTAATGGGCCAAACAGGGAAACAGAGAAGGTAGTTGCGGATGCCCAGTGTTGTTGGTATATCTGTAACTAGAAGCATGTGGACCTGATGAGCCAGTTTTTGTGCCCTCTGACCTTGAGGCTTCCCAAGCACTTTGGCACCTGAAGATGCCCAAGAGACCTGTCTTCATGTTCCATGTACTGGCAGCTACTGAGACAATAGTGACATTGACCCAAATGTAGGAGCCAGACTCTTAGAGGCCTCTGTAGTAACCATTTTATACACATAATGTCCTCTAAGAGGTTTCATTTACCAAATAATCACTTACTATAGCAGTTGTCTAGGTGTGGCCTTGTGATTCCCAGGAGCCCAGGAACACTTCAGGTTACCCAGTGCATCTAAACGGAGCCCACAGTTGTACTAAGATGCCATTTACCTTTTTCACCATATTGATACTGTGCTGATGGTGTAAAAG